GCTGAAGCATTGTGGAAGCAATGATGAGTGGGTAATTAGGAGCTCGTATAGTCAAGTTGTCGAGCATTGAAGGTTCAGTAGGTGCTGCGAAAGCAGTCCAAAGTTCGTGAAGTGCTCAGTCAGGGAAGTCCTAAAACTGGTTAAGATCGGCTCAAGACCTCACATAATAGGCCGCCACCGTTTTATTTTTTACAAATTTTATAGGAATTAAGGACTGCAGTTTTGGCATGAGCCAGAATGCAGCTGTGTCAGACAGTTAGCATCCCGAAAACCATTGTTGCTGCAAATGTTTTCACATTAGGTTTTCTTAGTACCCTAGATTCTCTAGGAAATCACTCACGAATATTTGGCTCAATACTACCGAATGCTTTTTGATAAGATGCTTCCATCCACAGGCAAGAAAAAACAATGTTGCAGTAGTTAATGTTACGTAGGAAAACCTCAGCCACTACTACACGATCAGCCTGGACGCGCCGCAAAGAGAGGTTGTGATTTGTAAATAACATTGCATCAGGTACGGTCGTCCACATAAGGGCGGACGGGGCGGTGGGCGTCCGGATCGGTTTGTTGCAGCTTGATAGAGCGTTATAAGTGCATCTTCTTGGGAAAGGCGCTACGCAGCGCCTGCTTGGGCGGAATTTCTTCCGGCCAGGCGTGCTTAATGCTACTCAACTTAGAGATTAATCGTGTTAACTGCCTTCAAACGCAGACGTTTACATGCGTGATTGTCCTTAGAAACAGCCAGCGTGCATTGAAATCAATGCAAGAGCCTCAAACGTGGTGTGAAGAAGTAGGATGGGATCACTCCGTATTCCATCAACTCTACTGAACTGTTTGCAGCCGTTCCGTTCTTGTTACTGGTTGTCAACGCCAGCCAGTTGCGTACCACTCGGGTTTACATAATGTGTTTGTGATGTTCGCATTACAGTTATTTACTGTTTCCGTGTTGGATGCAAGATCTAAATCCTTTTTTGCCAGATGCTGCGGGTGGCATTGTCACCGCTGCTTTCTCCTGCAGTGGAGACTTCGCGTCTGCTCATCACTAGCAGTCCTTCAGCGGTCACCGTGCAATCTCGAGGAAGACGTCGTACTTTAACGCCTGCTCCGTGGGTAAGACGTTTCTATCTTGAACCTGCGTTTGTTGCAGCTGTATCAAATGCTCTGACATTTCAGTCCAATCGATTTCCTTTCCTTAATCTGTCAGATCCTTTCGATTCTATTTTAATGACATTTTAGTTGCCTCCTGTTTATGAACGAACCCACGCCGACTACTTGGACGATTCTAACCGGTTGGTTGTGGCATTATACATATAAAATAAAAATACTCGTGGTAATACTCGTGGTATAGCTACATGTTGATCTCATTTGAGGGCGTTACTGCAGGAGGTGATATCTGCTGAGAAGATTTGCGCTGAGAATTCAGCAATGATGCGTACCCAAGAAAGCGAAGCAAAGATCGCAGATATAGAATTGCCCACAAGAAGAGTCGGTAAGTCCGGATTTCGAAGAGATTGATATATGAAATGTGAAAGAAGGTTATTTGAAGGTCTGCTTGCTCGGAAGATAGGAATGGCGCCTCAATGGACAGTTACTGGAGATCGAATATTATGTACACTTCTTGAGATTTGTGAGGTAAAAGTGTACCGTATTATGGCAAGATCTTATAAAAAAATGTAGCCCTGCTGGTTGTCATTCCAGAAAATAGGAGTTTTCATCAAAGATGACCGTTTGCAGTAGTATTGTACTATTAAGAATTACCATATTCCCTACCGAAACTTCTCTTTCAGAACCACGTCGTTAGTGTGATTTCTCCTGAGGAATGGTATCGTAGAAGTCTTATTGGAAAACGGAAAGCATTCAACAGAGAGGGACCCATGTGGAAGGTGGGTTTTCCTATTTGCACGCTGCACTGAGAACAACTTCATCGTTTGCAGGTAACAGTTGGGGCAGTGGACTACAATGTGGACCGATTTTCTCATGCTTACAGAAACCAGTTCGTTCGGGCTGG